GAAAAAGTGAGTCTTATAGAGCAAAAAATATGGTACTTCTTCCCACAGCGCAAAGTTATATGCAGTTCACTCCCTCATGAGGTAGTGATGGCCAACAACTGGGCTGGCTTTAAAAGATTAGACAAATTCATGCAGGATAAGACTATCAAAGGCTTCTAGCCATGATGGCTTCTTTCTGCCTCTCTCTCCATTGTCAGAGGCCGTATGCCTCAAAATACCAGTTCCTGGGAATCACAATGTGGGAGAGGGCTGTTGTGCTCAGGTCCCGATTGTGGGATTGTTTTATTAATCTGTATTTTATTATGATGTTTTTTAAATATTAGAAGCTACCTTGAATCCCAGCTTTTGAGACAGGTGGGATATAAATACATTAAATAAATAATAATAGATAATCTAATAAAGCAGAGTGATGTGTAGGCGATCCAGGATAAGCCCACCATTAATGCACTATTATTGCTTCAATGACTTGTTGCAGAATAGCCCCCTCCAACCAAAACAGGTGACCCTGTGACTATATGGACACCTCGCTTCTGAAAAACATCACAAAATTATATGTGCTCAAACAGCTGAATTTGCTTTTGTTGTTGTTCCAAAATAATAAAAATATAGGGTGAAAATGGTCCGTTCCCTGTAACATCCCTACTGCTCAACACCTATTTCTTTTTAAAAGGACATTCGCTGAGCCCCCAGTGGCCACTTGCAGACGTCACTGCCGTGTCTCCCACGGTATCTGCAGCCTCACGGTAACAGAATTGCAGGGGGGGGAATCCAGGAACTACCATCCTTGTTTCCGTGGCAACACCAGCCGACTGGGACACTGTGATATACTGTCGCCTAGCAACCAGCGACAAGAGCTCCTGAGCCGCTCTGGAAATTGCAAATAAGCCATCCAGGCCGAGATTGATCGTCCTGAAGCAAAGGAGGGGCGAGGCACATTGCTGTGCAATCCGCAGCGCTGACTGTTCTGGTACAAGAATGATGAGGGGAAATGCACACGTCATCCCCGGCTTCTGGGGCCAGGAGGGATATACGGGAGCTGAAGGAAGGGGACGTATGCCTTCCGAAGCAGCAAGAAGAGCCAAACATAGGAAACTACCTTATACTGAGACACATCAGTGGTCCTTTTAACTCAATATTGTCTACACTGTCTGGCCGCAGCTCTCCAGGGTTTAAGCTAAGGAGTTTATCCCAGCAATACATGGAGATGTTGGGAATTGAATGTGGAACCGTCTACAGTGGTACCTCAGGTTAAGTACTTAATTCGTTCCGGAGGTCCGTACTTAACCTGAAACTGTTCTGAACCTGAAGCACCACTTTAGCTAATGGGGCCTCCTGCTGCCGCCGCGCTGCCGGAGCACAATTTCTGTTCTCATCCTGAAGCAAAGTTCTTAACCTGAAGCACTATTTCTGGGTTAGCGGGAGTCTGTAACCTGAAGCGTATGTAACCTGAAGCGTACGTAACCCGAGGTACCACTGTACATGCAAAACAGATGCTATACATCAGGCATGTCCAACTCCCTAGAGACTGTGATCTACTCCCCATATTAAAAAAAAACTGGCAGTGATCTATCCATTGTCACTGGGTGGAGGAGGAGCATGCATGAGGTGGGTGGATTGCCTAGAGTTCTTTAGCTTTTTTTGTGGAGGATTGGCCAGAGTTCTTCAGCTTTTATTTGTTAACTTCCGGTAAACTTTATTTAATCCCACGATCGATAAGGGTCCCACAATCTACCAGGATCAACCAGGGATCTCCCAGTAGATCGTGATCTACTGGTTGGACATGCCTGCTGTACATGGTTCTTCACTATACTGAGTCAGAACATTGGTCCATCTAACTCAATATTGTCAGAGGTCAGCAAACTTTTTCAGCAGGGGGCTGGTCCACTGTCCCTCAGACCTTGTGAGGGGCCGGACAATATTTTGAACAATTTCCTATGCCCCACAAATAACCCAGTTTTAATAAAAGCACGTATTCTACTCATGTGAAAACACCAGACAGGCCCCACAAATAACCCAGAGATGCATTTTAAATAAAAGGACACATTCTACTCATGTGAAAACACGCTGATTCCCGGACTGTCCACGGGCCAGATTTAGAAGACGACTGGGCCAGATCTGGCCCCCGGGCCTTAGTTTGCCTACCCATGGTCTACACCAGGGGTTGTCAACCTGGTCCCTACCACCCACTAGTGGGCATTGCAGGATTCTAGGTGGGCGGCAGAGGGTTCTACGGCACAAGCTGAAATCCTCCTTCCATTGAGTACTGGTGGGCAGTAAGGAAATTTTACCATCAAGAAAGATGCAACAGTGGGCAGTAGGTATTAAAAGGTTGACTACCCCTGGTCTATGTTGCCTGGCAGTAGCTCTTCAGGGCTTCAGATAGGGGGTCTCTCTCCCAGCCCTGCCTGATGTTAGGGATTGAACCTGCAACCTTATGAATACAAAACAGATGTTCCAGCACTGAGCTGCAGTCCTTTCCAAGAAGACATTTTCAGGCAACCTTTCCAGTTTGTGTTAACTTCAAGAACCTCATGCTGAATAATGAGATCCTTCTCAGGTCTCATTGTTCATTTGCAAAACAGACATAGCAAAAGTATAAATCCACACAGAGAAGGGCTGCAATTAGGGATGGAAGAGAAATTTGGTAGTCTTTTAGTGTCAACCTACCTAATGAGCAGCTTCTGAAACACAGCTAACCTTTGATATTTGCCCTTCTTCAAAAATTGTGATTCAGCTCTCCTACCAAATTAGCATGACCCCAAATGCAACTATTAGGGGGAAGAATGCCTAAAATGCATATATTATATGTGGAAATAATATGCAAAAACCAGCTTGCAGAATGGTGGATATAACAGGGGAAATGACGTACAAAAACGTGTCAGTTGGGGAAAACTTGCACTAAAATGCTGGGGAATTTTCACTTGCAAAAATGTACGTTAGGCAAAACTGCACACAAACATGTGAATGCTAGAAATTTGACAGAAAAACTGATGAATATTTTTAAATATTTTTAAATTTTAAATAATAAAAAATCGTGAACTGATGCAAAAATGCAGAGAGTTGAACATAAGACTGGAAAAATGAGAAACAGAGAAAAAAGTGAAATTGACATAGGAAGGTTGGGAAAGGATGAGGTTTTCTTCAGGTATTTGGGTCCCAAGACATTTAGGTCTTTGACAGAGCCGTAGCTACGGGGGGGGGGGGACTAGCCAGGTTTTTTGCCCCAGGTGAAGCCTCCAGAGGGGCGCTACTCAGAGTAGTCCCACTGAAATGATCAGACATGACTAATTCAGGTACATTCATCTTAATGGCCTACACAGAGTAGGATTAACACTGGATGCAACCCTCTGCATGGAAGAAGAGCCTACTGGAACAGGCCAATGGCCCATCTAGGCCAACATCCTGTTCTCACAGTGGCCAAGCAGATTCCTTGAAAGGAAATTCGCAAGCAGGACTCGAGCTCCACACCATTCTAGCCTCCTCTGGTATTTTGATTGTGGAGGTAGAGCATAGCCATCATGGCTAGCAACCGTTGACAACCTTATACTCCATGAATTTGTCTAATCCTCTTTTAAAGCCATTCAAGTTGCTGGCCATCAAAGCCTCCTTTGGGAGCGAGTTCTGCAGTTTATATGTTATATGAAAAGTCCTTTTTTAAACTTCCAACACTGAGCTTAATTGGATGTCCACGAGTTCTACTGTTCAGAGAGATGGAGAAAAGCTTTTCTCTATCCACTTTTTCCATGACATGCAAAATTTTATAAACTTTGAGCATCTCACCTCTCACTCATCTTTTCTCTAAACCCTTTTCTTAATCTTTTCCAACTCTGCAATATCCTAATAAAAAAAAATTCCTTCCAGTAGCACCTTAGAGACCAACTAAGTTTGTTATTGGTATGAGCTTTCGTGTGCATGCACACTTCTTCAGATACAGTGGTACCTCGGGTTACATACACTTCAGGTTACATACACTTCAGGTTACAGACTCCGCTAACCCAGAAATAGTACCTTGAATTAAGAACTTTGCTTCAGGATGAGAACAGAAATCGTGCTCCGGCGGCACAGTGGCAGCAGGAGGCCCCATTAGCTAAAGTGGTGCTTCAGGTTAAGAACATTTTCAGGTTAAGAACGGACCTCCGGAACGAATTAAGTACTTAACCTGAGGTACCACTGTACTGATTGTTCAGATTTGCTGATCAGCCAGATGCCCATTCCCACCACCCTTCTGAGTAATACCCCTCCCCACCCTCTCACTATATATAAGGGTCTGGTGACTTCTGTTTCAGTGTATCTGAAGAAGTGGACATGCACGCGAAAGCTCATACCAATAACAAACTTAGTTGGTCTCTAAGGTGCTACTGGAAGAATTTTTTGTTTTGTTTTGACTATGGCAGACCAACACGGCTACCTACCTGTATCTACAATATCCTTTGTGAGGTGATGTGACCAGAATTGTACACAACGGATGTGTATAACAGCACTTTTAACAGGGATGATATCAGCAATTTTATTTTCAATTCCTTTCCTAATGATCATTAGCGTGGAATTTTCCCTTTTGACAGCTGCTGCACACATCTTAATTGAGCTATCTACTATAATCCCAGCCAAGGCCTTTTTCCTGGTACGTCACATGAATCAGACCCCATGAATGTATATATGAAATTAAATTTTTTTGTCTCAACATGCATCACTTTATACTTTGCTCTATCATACATCACTCTGATTTTTGTGTGGCTGGAATGCAGCCTTGCCTACAAAGAGTAACATCTGTTGCCCTGTCCACTTTCCCCTCCAGTCCCACCCACCACCGTGTGGCCCCCAAAATCCTGCTTGCAAAGTAATGTGGCCCTCACGCTGAAAACAGCTCCAAATCACTAAACTCCACTTACACACATCAGAACCAAAGAGAAAGTGAAGCAATGTCAGGTGAAGGAGCATGGACTTCAAAAGAAATATTGAGCTGTTTGAGCAGTTCTGACAACCGCATGAGTCTCACTCACCCTGCTGAGCTGATCTAAGAGTCTTTGGTTCTGTTCAGAGAGTTCCTGGACTGCCCGCGTTTTCTCTCGATCAGCTTCTCGGAGGTGAACCTGTTGCTTCTCCAGCTCATCCTGGAGTTGCTTCACATCGCTTTCCAGCTCCGACACTCGTCCTTCCCATTCTCCTTCTTTGTTCTCAAAGCGTCGCCTTAGTTCATGCTTCTCTTGTTCCAAGTGCTGTGTAACAGGGGAGAGGGAGGGGGAAAGGGTCAAAATGTCACTGTTCCAACCCTTCGCGCTTTCCTGCTGCCATGCACGTTTTTTAAATTTAAAAATTAACGACTTAAGTCACATCAATTCCAGCCAGGGCTGCCCAAAGACATTTTGCTTCTCTGGGGGTCAAGTACTAGATGGTGCCCTTTCTCAGTCCCACGTAAGAAAGCCAGAAAAACTACCGTATTTTTCTCTCTATAAGACACACCAGACCACAAGACGCACCTAGTTTTTGGAGGAGGAAAACAAGAAAAAAAATATTCTGAATCCCAGAAGCCAGAACAGCAAGAGGGATCGCTGCGCAGTGAAAGCACCAATCCCTCTTGCTGTTCTGGCTTCTGGGATAGCTGCGCAGCCTGCATTCGCTCCATAAGACGCACACACATTTCCCCTTACTTGTTAGGAGGGAAAAAGTGAGTCTTATAGAGCAAAAAATATGGTAGTTATCTGAATCCTCTTCGAGGCATCTCAAGATTGTAAGCATCTTCCAGCAGCAATTCAACTGCATTCCAGAACTTTGGTTTGCACCTAAAGTTATTATTATTGTTATTGTGCATTCATGATTATTTGTACTCATTGTGGTTTTGTGGCAGTGAGGTGGGATCCTGCTTTTTAATACTCTTTGGGCCTGCAAAGGTTTTGGGGCAGACATACAGCTTCATTTCCAATCAGTGCATGTCCGATAAATTCCCTCTGATAAACCCAGTGCAGACTGATTCATTTTTTTATTTTATTTTTTAAAGATTTTTATTGATACAGCAAGAAAAAAGAAAAAAACACAAATACCAAATTACACACAGGAATAACCATAGACACATAATTTTCTTAGCAAACAATAAAACATATATTGGTCTTAACACTAAAGACCCAACCTCCTGTCTATTCCATATTTCAATTTCATATTACTTATTGCCAATACACACTTTTATCATAATCAAACTTTTTCTTAATACGGTATATCTAATTTCTTATACCTACCTTGCGACTATTACTGAAGTTCCTTAAGTGCTGCAACAGAATTTAAACTACTATATTTATTTTTCAGATACTCTTTGAAAACCTCCCATTTTGAAAAAAAAAATCCTGTTTTGATTTATTCTTTATTTTTTCTGATAGACCACGGATCCAAAAGCTGACAGAATATGCCGAATTAGATGGTCTAAGCAGACTGATTCATTTTGGCAAATGGGGTACTGCCCCACCAACCTTGGTCTGCCCTCAACCAGCCCCCATCTCCCTGCCTTCCTACTCACATTCAGCCCACGGAGTGGCACTGCCTGTCAGCGTCCTTCTCTTTAGTCTTAGTGTTGCCTTTGTAGGACTCAACAATGATAAAAATGGGGACAAATCTAGAATTACAGGCCGGATTCGGCTAAATATTATACTTGTGGAAGTCTGTGCAACGATACCCACTAGCACAACAGAGCTTTATAACTTCTTCTCCCCTGTGCTCCCCCAAATTGGCTCCAGGGAATTAATAATAATAATAATAATAATAATAATAATAATAATAATAATAATAATAATAATTTATTATTTATACCCTGCCCATCTGGCTGGGCTTTCCCAGCCACTCTGGGTGGCTTCCAACAAAATATTAAAATACCGTAATACATCAAACATTAAAAGCTTCTCTAAACAGGGCTGCCTTCAGATGTCTTCTAAAAGTCTGGTAGTTGTTGTTCTCTGACATCTGGTGAGAGGGCGTTCCACAGGGTGGGTGCCACTACCGAGAAGGCCCTCTGCCTGATTCCCTGTAACTTGGCTTCTCGCAGTGAGGGAACCGCCAGAAGGCCCTCGGCGCTGGGCCTCAGTGTCCAGGTAGAACGATGGGGGTGGAGGCGCTCCTTCAGATATACTGGGCCGAGGCCGTTGAGGGCTTTAAAGGTCAGCACCAACACTTTGAATTGTGCTGGGAAACATACTGGGAGCCAATGTAGGTCTTTCAAGACGGGTGTTATGTGGATTCGGCGTCCGCTCCCAGTCACCAAGGGGATTTGAGGAGTGCGGAGGGAGACGAGGAGAGATAATTCTATCAGGAATGACATGCTTGTGCTGACATCATTATTGTAATAGCATGGTGCTGAATTCCACCCTACCGGTCCCATGGGCATCAGCCACCAGTGTGATATCCTGTAAGTTTTTATACCACTAATGTCCTGGTGTGTGTGTCCTACTTTGCTGCATTATAGCACACAGCATCACAGAAAAATTAATAAAGAGGAATTATGTGCAGAAACTGTAGTGTAAATCTACCACTAATCCACTATTATTGCATCAACGACAATTTGCTGAATATCCCCACAAAAAGATCCATCTTGCTGAATGCTGTTGACACTGACTGGCAGCAGCTCTCCAGAGTTTCAGACGGAAACCTGTCTAAGCCTTTGGAGATCTGATGCCAGTCAGTGTCAACAGTTCTGTGGTACAAATGAACAACCACACCCTAGGCCAGGGGTCAGCAAACTTTTTCTGCAGGGAGCCGGTCCACTGTCCTTCAGACCTTGTGGGGGGCCGGACTATATTGTGAAGGGAAAAAAATGAACGAATTTCTATTCCCCACAAATAACCCAGAGATGCATTTTAAATAAAAGCACACATTCTACTCATGTAAAAACACCAGGCAGGCCCCACAAATAACCCAGAGATGCATTTTAAATAAAAGGACACATTCTACTCATGTAAAAACACCAGGCAGGCCCCACAAATAACCCAGAGATGCATTTTAAATAAAAGCACACATTCTACTCATCTAAAAACACGCTGATTCCTGGACTGTCCGCAGGCCGGATTGAGAAGGCGATTGGGCCGGATCCGGCCCCCGGGCCTTGGTCTGCCTACCCCTGCCCTAGGCTAACCCCAGCCTCTCTCACCACCAAAGGAACACAAGTGAACAGCAGAGAACCTGCACAAGCAACGCTGACACCAAACCCCACATATATTAAGTAAAATAGAAACATCGCCACCCGACCCCACCCCCACCATCTCCCCACCCCCTCCACCTCTTTCCCCCTTTTCTTCCTAATGTCTCAACAAATGAAACCGATTTGTAAAAAATGTTACATGGGGGGGAATAACTGAAACATTGCACATACTTTTGTAAATCATTTATTTAATAAAAATACATTAAAAAAAACCAAAACAGTTCTGTGGTAGATAGATCAAGGGTTCAGCGCAGTGTAATGCCAACAATTGAACCTGGGATATTCTGCATGCAAAGCAGTTGCCCCACCACTGTGCTTTGACCCTTCTCCTAAAAGTAAACATCTCTTTCCTCATGGTTCGGAACAAAGGGTTAACTTAAACGGGAAAATGGAGCAGCTTTATACCGCGTCAGTATTGTCGGTGGGATTCAATCACATACCAGCAAATTCAGGTCACACAATTATGGCTAATTAGGAGGCCTTTTGCAGCATACCTGCTTCTTGCAAAAGACGAGACTTTCCGAGCTAAGGAAAGCATTGGGACAATGCTGTGAAAAGTATGGAATAACACCTGCTTTGATGCAATGTCATCTAACCTCCCTGCAAACAAATCAGAATGAATGCTCATTAAATAGCCACCGTTGTCCAGTCTCTCTGAAAACAAATCAAAATGAATCTTTCTTTTGCCAAACCTTTATTATGCATTACAGGTACAGACCATCTAAAAACATCCATATATAATCACACACACACACACACACACACACACACACACACACACAAGCAGCCATATAAGATATATAGTAACAAAAATTATCATTAGGATTGTCTTTCATTCTTTTATCAAGATGAATGCTCAATAAACAGATAATCTGGGACAACACCCAAAGTCTCTTGTTCACTTAAATAAAAACATAAGAATAGCCTGCTGGATCAGGCCAGCAGGCAGAGCATAGCCACCATGGCTAGCAGTCACTGATATCCTTATCCTTAACTGCCATTCCTCCCTTGCTTTCACCTCTGCCTAAAACCATTCCCTACAACACCTGTACGATAGCATCTCTCCTTCCTTCAAATTCCTCCTGATGAACAAAGGAAGTTGATTTATACCAAGTCAGACTCACTGGTCAATCTAGCTCAGTGTGGTCCACACTGACTGGCAGTCACTCTCTAGAGCAGTGTTTCCCAACCACTGTTCCGCGGCACACTAGTGTGCCGCGAGATGTTGCCTGGTGTGCCGCGGGAAAAATTTAAAAAATTGAAAGATTTTTTTTTTAAAAAAAGTCAAATTTTCGATTGGGGCGCCGTCACTAGATGACCCCTGGGGTTCCCTCCCTCCCGCTCTGCGCCTCCCTCCCTCCTCCTCCGGGGAGGCCCTTCCTGGCTCTCGGCCAAGGCTTGGCGGCTGCCACTCACTCACTCGCTCGCCCACCCGTCCCTCCATCCCTGCACCCGGCCTCTCCCCCTCCGTCCCCGGCGCGGGGGCTGCCGGGATCCGTAGTCCCCTCGCCCTTGGGCTCCGCGCCCGCGCGGGGTGCACGTACTACGTTTCCCAGCGTGGCCTGGCGGGCCGGGCGTTTTGTTTGAAGCGCTCTTCTCCCGGCCATGGAATGAGCGCAGCGGCGGCGGCCGGGCGGGCGGGCAGGGGCTCTTCCACGCAGACCCCGCGCAGCCTGCCTGCGCCCCCCGGAGATCGGGCGGCAGGATGGAGCCCGGGGATCCCCGCGGAGGCGGAGCGGCAGAGGCGGAGGCTGCCCCCCAGGTAGGGCTGCGTCGGGGTTTTTTTATTTTTGCAATGCTGCATCCGCGCCGGAGGGGACGCATCGGACCGCAGGGAGACCCCTTGGCGGGTGTGCAAGGCAATGCATGCGTGCAGGCGTTGCATGGAGTGCAGTGCAGTGCAATGCAATGACAATGCGGCGCCCTGCATGCATGCATGCAACTTCCACCGGCGCTCCGGACTTGGCAGGTGAGGGGGGTCCCCAGTGGGCGGCAGAGAGAGCCGGGAGGGCGAAGGGGAGCCGGGGGGGAGCAGCGCTG